GGTGGACGGCGGCGGGCGCGGACTGCCCGTCCCCTTGGGAGCCTCCGCTGGGAGTTTTGGGACTTCGTGCTGGGTTTTCCCGGTGTTTGCAGTCGAAAGTTAAGGTGAAGGTTTGCAAGGTGTAAGTTGTTGGGTTTTTTGGGTTTTTTTGGTTTTTTGGTTTTTTTTCCCTTTTTGGGTTTTTTTTGGTTTTTTGGGTTTTTTTCCTCCTGGGTAAAACGTTGTTCTGGTCGGTGAGACGCCGTGTATCTCACGGGACGCTGTTATACGCACTTTATAAAGAAACCGCGACCTTTCCTTCCCCTGGAGCTGCAGAGGCGCAGCCCGCCCGGGGCACTTTCGGGAGCATCGTGGGGTCCCGGAGCGGAAAGCCAGCGCCCGCCGTGCGGCTAGTACCAAGGGCTTTTCCTTGGTGCTCCGAGGTGTATCTGGTGTCGGCCGGAGTCACAAGGGGCTGCTCCAGAGGTTGCGTTGGCCGTATTTGTTCTGTCGGTTAAATAATGAATCACGCCGGATAAACTGCCCGTCGTTTTTTGGGCTCTTTGCCCTCTCTCTTGGAGGCAAAACCTCCTTTTGCCATGTGGTGTGGGAGGTTCTGCTTTAAGGCCGTATCAGAACAGTTGCAGTACCCGTCTCGGTGATGAGCTAAAACCAGAGAAAACGGCAGCCGCTTGGTATGCCTTAGACTTAGGCCAGACCGTGTTAAATGAGGCTTAATGTAAAATCCTGGCGCCACTGAGAGGAGCAGAGGGCATCACCCGAACAGTGTTGCGGGGTGCAACGCTTATGGAGCACCCTGTGCTTAAATAGGTAGGAGTTGGGAAGAGTCAAGCCTCTTGCTGGACTGAGTCCTTCCTAAAAATACCTTCTTTGAGGGCTGATAATCTACTCCATGAATCATTTTTCAAGGAAAAAGAAAGTACAATGAGCTGGAAATTATACTCTGTGCACATTTTGTTGTAATTAAGCAGCTGTGTAATTCTGGGAACTTCAACTCTAGCTGACCGAAAAGTGTTTTTAGAAGCAGTGTTATTAAATTCCAGGGAGAAAGATATAAGCTTTATCTGATGAACTAGTCATAGGCTCTTTGTTTAAAGTGTGCTTTAACTCCTGAGTTATAAAGCATGATGTTTGCCTGTTTTCAGTGACTCTCCTGATTTACTTGTCCTTGGGACTTTTGGCCCCTATGTTATAAAACTTAGAGGAAGTGAAAGAAAACTTAAGGTGTCTGTTCTGAAATGTGAAAGAATACCTGCACATAACATTACTGAAAAGATAGACAGGATTCAACCCTGTAATGAGACACCTAAGTTAATCATGTGATATATGGAAAGAAAATGCAGACTCTTTGGGAGGTGTGGGACAGCAGAGTGCATGCATGCTCTTACTTAAAAATCTTCATGTTTCTTTAAATGTTAGCTTCATGGAATAAGTTTGAGAACAGTACTTTTTTTTCCCCTTTTTTTTTTTTTTAAACTCTGAAGGATGCTTTTTCTAGGTTTAAAAATGACGGTAGGGTGTTACAGAAAAAAAATGTTAAGTTTTATCAGTTGAAGATGCATGATTTGTGAAAAATGATCTGACCGGTTGCAGACGCTTTCTGGTTTTATGCTACCTATTGTCTAATAAAATGGGTATCAGCTGGTGGTTTTGGATCA